AAAAATGAAATGGGACTTGGCGCATTTGCTTTAAAAAGCCTAATTTATTTGCAAACTGATTCAAGCGATGAATGAACAAAACTTTTCATCTTTTGATCTATCAAAATACAAGTTTTTTTTTTACTTTTTTTGCATGGCTTGAATAAAAAATTGACTTGCTGCATGAGAAATTCAGTATCAAGGTCAATATAATGTCGGGGTTTGTTATTGCTATTTTAGCTGTTTTTATTTAGCTAAATATTGGACTTGCTTTTTTTGAATCCTAATTTTTTTCCGAAATTGGTCTTGAGGTAACGCAGATTCCTTCGCACCTTGAGCTTGAGGGAGGGATTCCCGACTGGTTGTTTTTTTAGCATGCATGAAATTGATTTTTTTTTCCGGAAAAAAATATGTCGATAGACTTTCAATTGTCTGTTAATATTTTTTTGTCTCAAATGCAGCAAATATTTCTTGTTTTACCAGTTACAAGTTTTGATGAATTAATCATGCATTTTATGATTTTATCAACCCTGACAGTAAACTTTTGTCTTTTTTCTTGCTAAAAAGCTTTTTGTTGGCCTAAATATATCCAGCTTATGTTTATTTTTATCAGATTAGTTAACTTTTTTTTGTGTTTGAAAAACCATTTTTTGTTAACTCTTCTTTTCCCTGTCGTGGCTCATTGAAATCAAAAACGTTTTTAATCTCTGATCCGATTGGAAAATAAAAACACAGAGCTTTTTGGATTTTTCCTCGATTTACAAATGGCTTCCTTAGTCGTCTCCTGGGCAACTTCTTGCATGTGAGCCATTGTTTTTTTGCCTTTTCTCAGCTTTTTTGAGCTTTTTTGGCATTTCTAACAAAAATGTGAAATTTTGTCGTCTATTTTTAAAATTATTTTGAAATTTTTCTAAGAAAAAAAACCTTTTTAAAATAGAAATCAGATTTCTTTGCTGTTTTTGTTAACGTGTCTTTTCCTGCTTTAAATTGTCTCGAGTCCCGTGAAACAAAAGTAGGGCAAACTATCATTTCTTTTGATTAGAACGAAAAGTTTAAAAACAGTTGATTTTGGAGTTTTGCTTGAAGTTTTGATTCTTGATCGTTTGCTAAGAAAACGAAAAACGAGAGCTGGTCTCGTATACATATTTATATATGATATATATTTCCGCTGATTGTCTGTATAAACTCTGCAATGCAAAACTTTTTTCTTAAAATTTGTAATTTTTTATCATACTATCTGCTAGATTAAGAGATGACAAGACATTATGACGACAAATAAGCGCTTTTACAAGTAAAATGAGCAGTTCAAAATTGAGTGGTTTAATTTTCCAGAAAATAAATTTGAAGAATTGCGTGTAGCTTCGTTCTAAAGTCCCACCAAAAGCGGTTGTCATTCTAACAGTTGTCGTCTTTTTGGCCCGAAACCTATCTCTTGAATCGGAAATTCTGTGAAACTGGGCTACACCTCGGTGCATTTTAACTCTTTATATACTTAAAGATCTAAGTTTTATTTTTCTATACAAAATCAGTTCTCTGCTCATGATACAGATTTCAAGAAAAAAGAATTACAAAATTAAATATATATTTTATTTTCATTAGTCCAGTTGCTCAAAAATTTTTGAAATGGAGATTGGCTTTTGATTTTACAGAATATAAATTTTTTTTAACTATAACAGACAGTTAGGCTAGTTAAAATTCTCACAAAATCTTCATTAGGCGGAAAGAATCCATCATATTTTTGCGCTAACAAACAAACCGCATCATCCCCCAACAAAACAAAATTCTAAAACAACCCGGGTCCAGATTTTCGCTACCAAAAATTTGGATAGTTGGAGCTACCGGCAAAAGTATCAAAAAGTTTTCATTGCTACTTCGGAGGACAAGAGTAGAAAAAAATTATTTAGCTCTTTTTTGACTACCTTGTGAAATTGTTTAGAAGGATTGCGATTGTTTAGGATGACTCAATCACCTTTTTGATTTATTACTGTTTAATTTCACGGTTTGGAAGGTTCTCTTGCGGCAAATAAGCCTTTTCTTCGTTCTCAGTTTCTCACAATTCAAAGAGTATCATTTTAACTACTGATTTTTTTTTTACTTCTTTTTGTATTTGCCTTTAGCTCGATGGAAACGAAACGTAGCTGCTTGAAAAATGATTGAACCTCTGTTTTCTAATGCAAAGTTCTTACCACTTGAAAAAAAAAACATTTCGTTTGTTAACCTTTTTTTAACTGAAACAAGGTTGAGACATTACTTTAAGCAATGCATTTTTTTCTACATCCGATCTGGACATTCAGCTGAAGAGTTGCTTCGTTTCACTGAAGCGTTGTCTTTTTTTGTTTCGTTGTCACCGTATCTCTTCTTGCTGCTCTAGCTTTTCGTAGAGCTACGGTCTCTTTTCATGATTGAAACGATGATTCTTCCTTGAACAATGGATTAAGCAAAACTTTGGGAAGTAATACCCGAAAAAAATACCCGTGAAAATGAGGCCCCTTGTGACTGCAAAATTTTAAATTGTGTGTTTACCAAAGTTAGACTATATAATTGAAAAAAAAGGGAACGAAAACCAGTAATTACCCAGGTCGAGGTTTCTGGGTGTTTTTCCTTTATAAAAAAAACGCAGTTTTCATTGTAGTTGCTCCTTATGTTTTCAATCACTCCTGCAATTTGTAATTCCACTAACTTTGATTTTGTATATATCCTTTTTTAAATTTTTTTGCAGAAAAAATTTTCGGCCCACTTGATTTTGGCTTACTAACTCAAATAATAATTTTAATCAGCTATCTAGCCTATTTTTGGGTGGTTTGAGGGAACCAAAAATTGCATGTTTTCCCCGGACTGCACAAACGTTAAAAATTTCAGACTCGATTTTACAGTTCAAAATTTTTCATGTCTTTATTTTTTTCGCTCTAATATTTTTGAATTTTCCTTAAACGGCGTCGATCGTGTTTCTGGACGTGTTTTCAGCCAATAAAACATTAATTCAGAAAACATTTTAAAAAATTATGGAAGAAACTTTTTTCGAAAATTTTCCCGTTTTCTTTGGATGAAGTTGATTCCCTTCTTTTACTGTCTTCTAGCTAACAAAGCTAATTTTATGGTTTTACAAGTAATGCAAAGCTCTGCTTCCTCTCTGTGTTAAAATTTTTATCTAATCGGTTTCTTTTTGCTCGTTTTTTGTACCTGCTACAACTTCAGGCAAGACTTTTTTGATTCAAACAAAACTGTTTGTAAGATTTGTGTGTCTTGTTTTCGTCGAAGAAGTTTTTATCAGTAAAGTTACTTTGTGACAGTTTGTGTCACAGGTGGAATCCGTTTACCAAACAATTCAAATTGTTTTTTTTCTGAAGCAAAAGCTTAATTATTTTTTAGTAAGTAATTGCTTAGTTTTTGAAATGTAGGCAAAAAAAAATATTCAGGAAATTTTTTTTCTCTGCATCGAATTTGCAATTTCTGTTGGAGAACTTTTTTCTTTTCGCATTGAATCGTTTTCATCGACTGATAGTTTTTGTTTTTTTTTGTCTCTGTTTTGCCTTTCTCTCTCATATCCTAGAGCTTTAGTTTACTTTTTGAGGCACCATTGTTCAGACCACAAAAAGTCCCAAAAAGTCATGCAAGTCATAAGAAACTGAGCAACAGCAGTTCTTCGTGAAGAACTGAACAGTTCTTAACTTGGTCCTTCCCCCTTGAATAAATCGTTTGAACTTTCCCTAACCGATGAAGCAAGGTTGTGGTAGTCTCTGCAGTTTGGCTGGACCAAAAGAAATGAATTCTTTGTAGAATCGAAGCATTTTGCTGTTGCGAATTAAAATTTGGTGTTCAGTCATTTTTGCTCACGAACAGAGCTAATTTAGGAAAAAAACACGCAATAATTTTTAAATTAGAGCTAAGAAAATTCTTAATTTCCGATTAACAGTTTCAAGTTTTAGTGCAGTTAAAAGTCCTTGTATTTTGTTATGAAATTAAAACAACATCTTCAAATTTAGTTATCACATTGTAACAAAAAATGCAATCTTGACTATTTGCACGATAGAATTATTTTGAATTGTGAAAGTAAAGGAAGCTTATTCATAGAGCGATTAGAAACGTTTACAAGTTTATAATGAAAAGGGCTGAAAAAGCCAAAATTCAAAATTTTCATAAACTTAGTGGAAAAATTTCAGCGAAGTTTTTTTAGACGCAATTTTTATTCGTCAGTTGATCCAAAAAAATGAACATTTAGAGTGATCGGTTAATTTGAGGACACTTTTGAGCGAAATTTTCTCTCGTAACATAGCATTTTCGAGCGGAGTTTTTGTAGCCCGCAATCAGAAGTGCAGAAAAAGCGAAAATTCCGTCCGCTAATTTTAAGACATACTTGAGATGAATTTTTCAGCTAGTATTGTTCATGAGATGGGCAAAAACTAATAAAGTTCGGAATTTTTGCTGGATTTCTGGCTTTTTGGGGAGAAATTCTATAAGCTGATTTTTTTTTATGAAGAGCGAAAACTTTGGAGCAAAAAGTGGAGTGCAACTACTACCTGTGTTCACTTGAGATGTTTCCTGCTGATTCTGAACTTTACTTAGAATTTTGAGAAAATTTCGTCCTTTCTAACAAAAAAAGAAACAGCTCAAAAGCCAAAAGACTTATACCGAAAGCCAGAAGACAATAGCTAAAGTCAACAGTCAAGCAACATCGACGAGTAACGGTTTTTTGAAAAAAATCATCGCAATTGCCAGAAATTGAAAAACGAATGATTAATTAATTCAATCTCTTCAATTTAAAAAGTCTAACCAAATGAACCTATATTTTTTATGCTGCGAATAAAATTGAAAAGTCGTACGATACAAAACTGCCATAAGGATTCATTAGCTGCTTTTTAAGCAAAATGTTTAATTACTACAATAAATCTGATTTCCAAGATAAACTCATCAACCGGGTCGAGTAACTGCAATGTAACCTTAACTGGCGGATCTATTTAACTTTTTCATTGTTTCATCTGATGAACTTTATGGTGAACAAATCTCAGCTCGTTACTCTTTAGACGAGCTGTACGAGTTGCCCTACTCGAGGACCTCTTCTGCCTACAAACTGACCGAGGAGAGCAACACGAACATGCCTGGCGTGTGGATCTACGAGGTGGTGCAGAACTACAACGAGAATGGCGACGACATCTCCATCAAGGGGGACCCCTACACCGCTACTCCTTCGAGGACCTATGTCCAGGGGCTACCATGCCCGTGGATACCATCTCTATGTTCTACGATCAAACAACAGACTTCGAACTGCAACCCTGCTCGGAGAAGCTTAAGTCCTGGAAGTCGATTGAAATCCGATTTGTTGGAACTTTTGAGGTGGACGTAGACACATACTATGACGCTGCGAACTCAAAAATTGAGTTTGAGTTTCCTCAGATTTGGGGCGTGAACGAACCAGCGAAGGTGATGCTGGTGCTTGATCATGTGCCTATGGAAACTGGACTGACCGTGGAGTTCACGTCACCTCTTCAAGAGGCATCTGCTTCTGATGATGTTGTCCTCCTGGAGGTGGTGAAGACAGATACGACACTGGAGCTCACTTGGCCTGGTCTTAGTATTGGCAGTACTGGCCCAGATTTGGAACTATTTCCAGTCGAATCAGTTTCAGCCCCAGGTATGTCGCTTTTTTTCCTCGCTGTATTCCAATCCCATGAAGATTCTTGCTAATAATGAAAACAAAAAAAAATTGAAACCAATAAGAATCGAATCTCGTTTTGTATCAGCTGGGTAGTGTGACACATTTCAAGTCAAAACTGGAGGAAAGTTTTCATTTCAATTCAAAATACTCTGAGAAGGAGCCAAATGGTTCTGGTTACCATTCGAACCATGGCCTTAGTTAACTTTTCCTTGGAAGGTATCCAATAAAAAAATGCAAGGGACCGAGCGTGGTATTATACTTTCATAATACCGTTTTATTTTTTGAACTGTTTTGTGAGTATTGAGAGAATAACGGGGCTTAAGGTGTGGCAAGTGAGGGGGACGAGGGACTCTTAAGTTTGATTTTATTTTCAAATTTTAATTTGATTTTATTACTCAATACAAGAGCAGATCCAGAATTTTTTCCCTATTTTTTGTTAAGTCGACAAAAATGTTCGGCCAAAAGGTAGACCTTCGAAAACAACAGGCCATAAAGCGAATATTTATTTGAAAAATTGTGACCAAAAAATTGCGTTTTTGGTGTAATCGTTTCTCTCAAAGTTACTATATATTGGAGCTAAAGATGCTTTCGGAAAACTAACCGACTGGAACCTAATTTTGTAAATTATTACCAAAGGAGTGTTAAACACTCTCCAAATCTGCTTCATTTTAGAAAAAAAATTCAGAAAAACAATCATACAATTACACAGGATGGTTTTATCTGAAATTGCGTTGTATCTTTTGTTATTTTTTCTATCTTTAAATCAATTTTCATAGATTTGGACAAATCGGGATACTCACTCTTGTCGGCTTTCGACATGGGGAGTCTTAGTGAAGGCGAGAGTTCGGACACATATACCGAGTTCAGTGCCGGCTCTCTTTCATCAGACCTGGGGACATTCTCAGTGGTCAAAATTACCAACACGTCTGGCAACGATAGAGGTAAGATTGTAGCTCAAAATAACTAGCAAATGACCTTAGCTCATGAGTTTAAAAATAAATTTATACCAATAATGAAACAAATACATTGTTTTGAATAACATCAAGAGTTGCATCATTTTTTGAATATTCGAAAATGAATTTATCCTGAAAGGAAAAATTTACAGATGCTTTTATTGTTCCGACCATTGAAAAAAAAGAAGAATTTTGTATTCGGTAAGTTTTGGTTTTTTTATATACCACAATTCATAATCAGAATGGGCCAAGTGATATATAATATTAAAACCATTTCAGTCGTGTTTCGAACGACATATAAATTGTGCGCGTCAATTTCCACGAATTGTAGAAAGATTAGATTTCAGACAGATTGAAGTAACGAGCATTTTCTCAGTAAAATAGCTCTCAAAAATTTGTAATATAACGATTTTTTACATACTTCAACATCGGTAACATCGGCCATAAAAACTGCTTAACTCAAAGCAAGCTGCAAAAATGGCCAGTATTTGTCCTTGAGACAAATTGCTCTTTTTAAAGGTAAGCCTTAATCAAGGCTGAACCAAATAAGAGCGAAAAGACGGTCAAAATAGGTTTAGAGGGGGGGGGGATCGACCATGGTTACGGAGCGTCCCATCAAGTTCGGGGCATATTTGAGTTCTAGAAAGGAAATAACCTAGGCGGGATTTGCACCGGCGCCGAGCCCGCCGGGACGCACCCTGTATACGCTCGATACTGTCCTATATGCATTTACATTTTGGTTCAATTTTGTGCATTCATACTCTCGCATTTATACTCTCATGCATTTATACTCTCGCGTACTTTTGCGCTGCAACATTCTCCACCCCTAAGCAACGAAGAACGGGAGCGAGCTTTACGGCCGGGCGGGTCAGTTCGCTCGCAACGGTCTTTATGTCGGCGGATCTCGCACATCCGTCCTTGCCATAGTGCAGTCTTAGGATACGTGCGAGTGGATAATGTCCACGTGGAGTGTCAGGCTCTATGACACAAACCAAGTCGCCGGCTTTCAACTTAATGTCTGACTGGTTGTGCCATTTTGCACTCCTATTGAGGGAAGGGACGTATTCCCGCATCCACCGTGTCCATATTGTGTTAGCGTATGATTGCGCTCTGGCAAACCGCTTCTTATGGTGGAAGTTTTTTTCGAAACTTAGCGACGGAAAACTCGCTGCGTGTTGACCAAGGATAAAATAATTCGGAGTCAATGCCTCTAGATCTAGCGGATTGGAACTAACGGCTGTTATCGGTCTAGCGTTAAGTCATTGCTCAACAAGGCACAGCGTGGTTCTTAGATCCATCTCAGTTACTCTTCTGTTGCCTAGGATGTCATACAAAACGCGCTTGACACTCCAAACTAATCACTCCCAGTAGCCACCATGGTGCGGTGCGCTGGGTGGATTGACTTTGCACTTGATCCTTTTCTGAACAAAAACAGCGGGTGCGAGCTTGTTCCAACTCTCAACGCTGTGCTGAGAGCTCTTTCTGAGCGCCAACAAAATTCGTGCCGTTGTCGGACATGATGGTAGTTGGAGTACCGCGACGTGCAATAAACCTCTCCATGCCCATCACACAAGAGCTTGTGTCGAGCGAGGGGACCACTTCAATGTGCACCGCTCTAGTGGTGAGACAGGTGAACAAAAAACCCCACCTCTTTTCCGTACTTCTCCGGATTGGAACTAGGAACGGCTCAAAGAAGTTGACACCTGTGTAAGAGAAAGGACGTTACTTGTAACCCAGCCTTTCAATGGGCAGATCAGCCATAATATGAGTTACGGTTTGCGCTTTGCGTTTTCGGCACACAACGCAACTATTTTCATTGTTTCGCCTTAATTATCGCAAATTTAACACAACGTATTTCAAATTAACCACCGCACGCATGTAATCTAAGCCTTGATGGAAATTCCTAACGTGCAAGTGTTTAACCAATAACCGAATAACCGCGTGACGTGCATCAAGTATAATCGGATGCTTGCTATCGAAATCGGAGTTAACCAAGCGGCTGATGCGCCCAGTCGAGCGAAGGATGCCAGCTGGTCCAATGAACGGCGAACACTTGGCGATCCGACTATTCCACGTGATAACTTTACCGGATCTTAGTAGTTTTAGCTCACCCTGGGACAGGTAAATGAGCTTCTGTTCAGCAATATCAATTTCACACAGGTCTGTTATTTGGACCGGAATACTATAATACTCGACAGGAAATGTTTATGGGATGGCAGCCATCTTAACAAAAAAGCTACTGTGCGTTTGTATTTTACAATTGAATTGAATCTCTCCCATTTTCCGAGGGGAAGATGTTTTTCTGTCAAAATATGGACGACAAATTTGACAAATTTTCCAGACAAAGGTCGATATAACATGATAGTCCTTTGAGTCTTTTTTATCAATAACCCTTGTATCGGGCTTGAACGGCCAATCAGTCGTTCTCAGTATACTAGGGTCATTAACGCAGCTGCTTTCCTTGAGGGCTGCCGAAGAAATCCCTCGTGTACCGGTATCAGCTGGGTTATCACCACTAAGTATGTGATGCCACTGATCAGTGGTGATGGACTCCAGAATCTCACCAGTGCGATTACCAACAAAAACGGGTAGTTTATTACAAGAGTTAAGCCACTGAAGAACAGTGGTACTATCTGTTACATGAAAAGATCCGTAACTTTGAAAGTAAGACCTTTCAAAATTTCTTTTTGTAAGCGGGTTGCAAGAAGAGCCGCTTGAAGCTCTAATTTTGGAATAGATAGCGCTTTCATAGGCGCAACGCGGGCTTTGCCAAACACAAAGGCTAATTCGGTCTGATGCAAGCTAGCAAGTCGAGCAAGAAGGAAAGCGACGGCACAGAAAACATCCTGCAAACTATCACCGAACATGTGAAGTTCTATTCGGTCGAACGGTTCAGTGAAATAGCTACGAGGTATTGTCAGAGAACCTAACAAATGAAGACCTGAGTGCCACTCAAGGAACTGCTTTTTGATTTCCTCTGGCAGAGCATCGTCCTATTTTTGACCGCTGATTCGCCAGGTATCTTTTAATAGAAGGCGAGCCTTCACGGTATACGGAGCCACTAATCCAATTGGGTCAAAAACAGAGGAAACAAAACTCAACACGGTACACTGGTTGATTGCTTTGTCTAGTGGACGATCAACCCCTCAACTAACGACAAAGGTATATTTTACGTGATCCCACTTAAGACCGAGAACATGCGACGACTAGTCTGGACTCGTACAAATATCTTTAACAGAGGAATTGGACTCAAAGTTGTCCGGATCAAGAGCGGTTGTTACGTCGGGCACGTTGCTGACAAATTTTGTTTGATGAAACCCACCTATTTTAAGAAACGAGACTAAGTCCCTACCTAATTTCAAGGCTTCAACCCTTTTTTGAAAAGAATCCAGATACTCATCCATATAAAACTTCTGGACAACAGCCAAAGCAGCTTCGGGGTACTCAGCTTGATGATCCGATGCAGTCTTCTGCAAAGCACAATTAGCACAAGTCGGCGAGTCACGGGCACCAAAAGTGTGACGCGTATATTGGTGAACTACCAAACTTGATGTGGGGTCCTCCCGCCACAAAAAACGAAGAGAAGGTTGATCTTCTTCACGGACTGCAAACTGTAAAATATCCCTTCAATGTCAGCTGAAACGGCGTATTTCTGCTGACGGGATCTTAAAAGTACGAAAATGAGGTTTTGAAAGAGATCCGGGCCAACCAACAGAGATTTGTTCAAGGAAGCGCCATAGCACTTCGATGCCCCACTGAAGACTCGGCGCACCTTACCGGGTTTGTTCGGGTTCAACACCGGGTGACGCGAAAGATACCAATCACGATCGGCCCGTGGTTTGGGATCGTCTGCTTTAACGGTTATGACATATCCTTTTTGTATATCTTCTCTAATTGTTTCGGCGTACTTCTCACGGAGCGACGGATCCTTACTTAGCCTCCTTTCCAAAGACTTTAATTGAGCTATTGGGGAGGAAAAATAGTTATTCGGTAAAGTACCACATTATCGTTCCAAAGCATTGGTACAATGTACCTCTCACCAAGTGAAAGGTGTCATTTTTCAAAACGGACAAAGCGCGTTTGTTGGCAGCTGAACGGGCATCAACTTGCATGAAGGCTCCATATGACTCCAACTCATACCAAGTTTTAATTTTGTCCGCAAGAGACATGTCTTCGATAACACACTTAAAGCAAGACGAGTTTGACTTAAAAGACGGCGGTAACGGGCCACTTGAAACCCAACCTATCGGAAGTCGTACGGCGCACGGTGAAATAGAGTCCTCCCCCAGAAGGTACTCAACGGGTCTTATGGCATGGTGGAAATCCTGTCCAACAATTATTTCGTCTTCCTCATACTTATAACGTATAGGTTTTATCGGAGCCAACTGCAGGTATTTTTCCTGTAATTCAGGAATACTTATTCGATCCGATCCAATGCGATTATGATCCTTAACATTAGCTCGAAAAGAAAATGAAAATTCACTATTATTTGTTTCGGCGGAAACTTGAAAACTTACTTGATGAGTTTTCATCAAGCTCGTGGAATTGAATCCATTTATGGTGAGGTTAACGTGAGTGCCAACCAAATGGAGACGTTTTACGAGATCGGCGGATAACCATGAGTGCGTGCAAGCACTATCGCAAAGAGCTAGGGCATTAGTAATTGTCGCATCCGAAAAGACGGCGAGTGATGCAACCGGCAGGAGGTTTTTAGTGGACTCCTGGCTATGAATATCGCCGACGGCAGGGTTATTCGATACATGTTTATTGTTTGCGTTACCTGACGCTGGGAAAATTTTAGTATCCTTAGGAGGAAAAATTTTCTCAGCTCCATGTAAGAGCACGTTGTGCGTGCTTTCACAATCTGGCTTGGGGCATTTTCTGGCCTTGCTACAATCACGAAAACTGTGATTGCTCTGTAAACACGCAAAGCAAAGTTTTTGTTCGGCTACATATTTCGCCCGTTGTGTAGCGTTTTTCTTTTTGAG